GAGCAGCCTGGGCTGGTGGGAGGTGTCCCTGCCCATGCAGGGGGGTTGGATCTAGACGACCTTGAAAGGTCCCTTCCAACCCAAATCACTTCATGATTCTATGATGAGATGCTCTTTGGAGTAGGTAAGAGAAGCACCAGCACATTTATGACCAAGCTGCTCCACTACCAAGGTCCCAGCAGGACTGGAGTCCTGAAGGCCAAGATGAAGTGCAAACATTCAGCTTCTCCAGGAGGATGCTGAGAGCCACCAAGTTCAGGCCAGAAGAGGGAGCTGGAGAAAAGGCCCATTGGCCCAACCTGCAGAAGAGGACACGAGGAGCCAGGAGAGCAGGTGGGCAGTGGGATCCCAAGCAGGGAGCCTTGGAAGGGGCTGGAGCAGGATCATATTCTCCAGGAGCCAACTACAGCTGAGGCCCCAGGCCTTGCCCTGTGACACCAGAAGCAGAGACAACAGCTTCTGTGGGCCAAAGCACCAGAGAACACTCCAGCTGGGATGCCCAACCTTTTTTTTTCTGGGCTTTTTGAGGAAAAGAGAAGCAGGAATTGAGGTAAGAGGGGAAAGATCCTTCCCCAGGAGTAGGGGAACAAGTGGCAACACTTGAGCTGAACATCAGGGGTGCCCCCCAAGTTGGGGGGCAGGGACCCCACCAGCCAGTGCTGTTCAGGTTCACACCATGGAGTCAATGTTATGGTTTATTTAAACATAAATGCAGCCTCTTAAAAAGAAACTCAACCTCCCCCCTCGAGTCTGGCCTTTGCTGGAAAGGTCCTGGGAAAAGCTGAATTTAAAAGACCAAAACAAAACAACAAAACAAACAAAAACGGGGGGGGGGGAAAAAGGCACTTAAAAATGGTCTCCAAAGGAAAAGGATTTTGCACAAACCCGACGTGCCAGCCATGAGGAGGAGCTGGGTGGTCACTTCAAGGTGGTTTCCAGAGCTTGACTTCACAGGTGAAGCACAGCAAGACAAGCAGACAGACTTCCCTTCCTCTGCCTGGGCAGAGGTGACCACTGCCCCCACCAGGAAGGTGAGATGTTTCCTCTCCCCTTCTCCTGCTGCTGCGTTTCCTGGGATGAGTGATCCACGAGCTTCCAAGGACCCACATGAAGCCCATGGGCAGCAATCACATCCCCTACTCCCAGAGGAACATGAAGCCACCTAGAAAAAGACCAAGGTGTGGTGTGTGTGTGTGTAGGGAGACAAAAAGCTTACAGGTAGAAGATGCTGCAGGTTAAAAGCCAGCTCTGAACTCTCCAGGGTGAGTTTTTGCAGTGATGAGCAGAAAGGGTTAAATAAAAGATTCAGCCAAACCTGTTCCCTCCCCCAGCCCACGAAACTACAGAGTAGTCCAGAAAGTGGCAACTTTGGAGCAGTCTTTCCAAGCCAACTTTTCACCATGAAAAGGTGAGGAACACAAGACAGGGGGGATGTTTTCAAACCACTGCACCAGGAAAGCTGCAGGGGCAAGAGCTTGGCTGGCTGCCCTGCCACCTTCCAACCATCTTCTGAAGCTCCAAGAGGTGGGAACATGCCCATGGAAACACATGCAAAGCCTTCAAGAGCTCAGCCAGGAGTTGGGGGGGGATGATGAGTGTCACCCAAAGCAGAAGAAGGGCTTTGTGTTGCTCTGCAGTGTCCTCTGTTAAGATACATCTTGTGAACATCATGAATTTGCCACGGGGAAGCAGGGACATTCATTGGGCTCCCCAGTGAAGTGCTGAGCACGTGCTGGGGCCCAGTTTGATGCTGGCTGGATGTTCTGGATTAGTCCCAGAGAGAGTACACTTTGTTTGTTTTGTTTTTTAATGAGTGCTGTCATGTAGAGATCCATAAATAAAAAGTGGGGTTTCCAAGAACTGAAGCATTTCTAGAAAGGCATCTCTGTATTTGCTAAGTAAGGCGCTGAGCAGGTTCCTCCACGTTCTTAGCAAGACCATCCATGGTCTCCATAAATAGGGGTGAGGGGGGTTAGGGGTGGGAAGGGGCTTCTTCAGTGTGTCTTGGGGCAGAGAAGCATGAGATGGTCTCATTTTAGTCGCTCGACGAGTCCCTGTGTCAGTCCAAGGTGCAAAAGCTGAGATCTGGAGAGAGCTGCTAGGTGAGGGAAATACTCCAGGAGCTTCTCCCAGGACAGTTCCAGCAGGCTGGGAACCACCAGCCACATTTTAAACAAAGAGCCAGTCCTTTTGTTCTCTTGGATGTTGACCACCCCTCCGTGGACATACATGCAGCCAGCCTGGGTGGGAAAAGGGGGAGAGGGGAAGTTACAGGGGGGCAAGGACCAAACTGGAACAACCAGAAGGTGCTGAGGAGAGAGACATGACCAGGAAAACCAGGATTTGACTCTCTGGGAGTCCCAGCTGGAGAATCAGAGGCCTCATATAACCTTTGTGTGCTGGTCACAGGGGGGTCACCTCCTGAACCAGTCACCTCAGGCTTCTCTCACAGCCCAGAGGAGGAATCTGTGTTTCTGGAGGATGTTCCCTCATCATGAAACACCCCCCTGGTGGCCTGGGGTGCTTTGCTCTGTGTTTTAGGTGAATTCTACCCCAAGAAATCCATTTGAGGAGTGGGGCAAAGTGTTAGTAAATCAGCAGAGAACCACAGTCAGCTTTCAGCTAAAAAAGAATGTTTGTTTTTTTTTAAAGAAGCTAAAACCAGCACCCCCCCCCCCAAGACATGCTGTGTCCCCTCTGCTGCCTCAGCACGTTCCCTGCTCCAGGAATCACACAAGCAAGAGAGACAGGGACAGCTCAGCTGCTATCCTGCTTTGAGAGGGACATTTCTTGAGGAAACAGGGAAAGAAGAGACATTCCTACTGTCCAGGAACCCACCTGCAGTCATGGAGCTGCCTGGGAAACACCTTTATCAGGCCTAGAGCTTCCCGGAGCCAGATGCATTAATAACCAGCTCCAAAAGAGGTGCCAACTGCTCTTAGAACAATAAAACCACCAAACCACCCCATTTCTGCCCTCACAGGCTGCCTAAGGTAACAATCAGCTGAGGCCACAGCAAATTGCATTTCTTGCTGCTTGTCAATCACAGGTCTCCAAGCTTCTAGTTCTGGGAAAAAGCTCTAGGAATGCCAACCTTCCCATTGGCAGTGGTTTCCCAAGAGGGCTGCTCACCTGCTGGTCTTTCAACCCAAGCTAAAACCAGTTTAATCTTTTTTTTTTGGGGGGGGGATTTGTATTCTTTGGTCTTTTGCAGACAGGAATTGCTGTTCACACATGGAATTTCTCCTTGGAACTGATGCAGTTTCTACATGGCTGCTCTGAGAAAGCAGAACATCCTGAGTTGTCACCCCTCCCAACAGCTGAAGGAGTCAAAGGTGTCACTGCAGTGACCTCACACCAGTCTTCAGCCTCCCTCAAGACACCTCCTGGGGAGGTCACCTCCTGGGGTCACATCAGCTTTATTTGCAGCCCACACAAACTTGTCAGAGTGCTTGGATGAATGGCCTGAACTTCAGCCACGTGGGAAAGAAATGAGTCACTTACTGGTGTGACTGCAGCACAGTGGAAATACACTGGTTCTGGCATGGCAGCTGGGAGCTTGACCCACTGGAAAGTTTGGAGATTCAGCTTCCAAACGTCTCCCAGAATGACTTCTCCATTGTAGCCTCCACAAACAAACACATCTGAAAGAGAGGAACCCCAGGGTGCCTAGAGTCCCAGCCATCTGCATTCAGCACCCTCAGAACGTGTGGTGGCTGAAGGCAAGGAGGACCTTTGCAGAACAGTTGTAGGATCAAAGCTTCTCCTGCCTCAACAGGAGCTCCTGGGACCTCCCTGTGGGGAAGGAGCCACCTCCTCTCCCCCCACGTGAGACTAAACAAAATGCCTTTCAAGCCAGCAAAACAAGAGTGCTGCCCTTTGGCTGGTTTAGCCAAAGACAAACTGGAACAGGCCCCTGTTCCACCAGATGAATCCAAAACAAAAGTAAAAGGGTTATGATGAGCAGCAGCAAAAGAGAAAGAAGGTTCTAGACTGTCTCTGGAAGAGTAGGAACCTGGCCATTGCTAATTGACTAATTGGAACAGTGATACCTAATTTGAACAGTGATCTCTGATCTATAAAAACAGGGCAAGTTTTGCAGGTGCTGCTGTGCTCTGTCTGGAACCTGGAGATGACCTTGCTGCAGCACCAGGAGCCACCTGGAACCTGGAGATGACCCTGCTCCAGCACCAGGAGCCACCTGGAACCTGGAGGGGACCCTGCTGCAGAATCAGGAGCCACCTGGAACCTGGAGATGACCCTGCTGCAGCACCAGGAGCCACCTGGAACCTGGAGGGGACCCTGCTGCAGCACCAGGAGCCACCTGGAACCTGAAGATGACCCTGCTGCAGCACCAGGAGCCAGGTAACAAAGCCACACACCCTCTCCCTTAAATTCCCTGCCAGGCTCAACTCCAGCTCCTTTACTCCATTGACTCTAGACCTCTCTCTCAGAGTGCACACTTACTGAGAGCACAGTCCTTTTGAATTCTTTCCCTGAGATATCTCAGAGACAGTATCTCAGAGTCCCTGAGATACAGATCAGTTTCTGTTCACAGAATCACAGAATTTTTGGAGTTGGAAGGGACCTTAAAGATCATCCAGTTCCAACCCCCCTGCATGGGCAGGGACTAGAACCTCAATTAGAACAGGCTGCTCAGAGCCCCATCCAACCTGCCCTTGAACACCTCCAGGGATAACCCTTCCTAATGTTAACCCTTCATAAACTGGTTAATTCATAACCTGAACACTGGTCTCAGCAGCAGTTTGTGGGTGCAGCGAGGGTGACGTTTCTAGTCTCTGCTCTAAGATTTGGTCCCACAGTGACTGATCCCCCCTGCCTGTGCCCTCGGGCCCTTCCAAAGTCTCAGTCTCATGCAGAAAGGAAAGTCACAGAGGAAACCTCCTAACCTCTGGTGGTCTATTACTAACACCATCAGACAAAGACAGTCCCACATCGGTCCCAGCACAGAGCTCATTGTCACAAAGGCCACTATAGAATCACAGGATGGTTTGGGTTGGAAGGGACCTCAAAGCCCATCCAGTCCCACCCCTGCATGGGCAGGGACACCTCCCACCATTCCAGGCTGCTCCAAGCCCCATCCAACCTGCCCTTCAACACTGCCAGGGATGGGGCAGCCACAGCTTCTCTGGCCAACCTGGGCCAGGCTCTCCCCACCCTCACAGCACAGAATTTCTCCCTCACATCTCAGCTTCAGCTCCCTCTGCCAGCTGGAAACCCTTCCCCCTGCTCCCATCCCTCCCTGCCCTTGTCCCAAGCCCCTCCCCAGCTTTCCTGGAGCCCCTTCAGGCACTGGAAGCTGCTCTCAGGTCTCCCTGGAGCCTTCTCTTCTCCAGGCTCAACACCCCAACTCTCCCAGCCTGTCTCCAGAGCAGAGCTGCTCCAGCCCTCTCAGCATCTCCGGGGCCTCCTCTGGCCTCTCTCCAACAGCTCCATGTCCTTCCTGTGTTGGGGACCCCAGAGGTGGCCCCAGCCCTGCAGGGGGGTCTCAGCAAAGCAGAGCAGACGGGACAATCCCACCCTCCCTGGCCCTGCTGGTCACCCTGCTGGTGACAGCCCAGGACACACAGGGTGGTTTCTGGGCTCCAGCACACGGTGCCAGCTCCTGTTGAGCTTCTCCTCACCCAACACCCCCAAGTCCTTCTCCTCAGGGCTGATCTCCATCCATTCTCCACCCAGCCTGGATCTGTCCTTGGTTATTTCCCCCACCCATGGGCAGGACCTTGCACTTGGCTTTGCTGAACTTCATGCAGCTTGCATGAGCCCACCTCTCCAGCCCATCCAGGACCTCTGGCCCTCACTCTACTGGAGAATGGAAAACTCTGCTGCTGCCTTCTGATCCACTCCACAGGAGCACCTCTGATTTACACCACCCCAAAAAGGATGAGCTGCCAAAGAAATCCCTGAGCAATCTTTTTCTCTGAAGAACTTGGCTTCCAGGACTTGGCCCCAGTTTGCTTTTCACAGTGGGCTGTGAAGCCAAGAGGTCCATCACCCTGTTCATTACCCTCCAACCAGCAAGTCACAAAGCACCATGGACACTCGTGGCTAAAATATCTGATATTTAACACTGAAGTGCCCACGTGTGCAAAGCAGATTTAAAATGCTGCAGAATTCCAGACAGCAAGAACACTGTGCAGCTGCAGAAGCACATTCCCCTACAGCAGCAAGATTCCTCATGTAAAAAAACTGGTGCCAACTGGGCAGCTTAAGGCCTGTTAACCAGAATAAAATCCTCTTCCAGAAAAGACATGTGTGCCCTGCACTTCTCTCAAGCGTTGTGTTGGAGGCCACAGCTCCCAGGCTGGAAGGATGGGCTCAGCATTGCTAGGTTATACCAGATACACCCATTTTCAAGAGGCAGATCTTACCATTTTTAATCTGGACACAGCTGTGGCACCTTCTGGCTGCTGGGAAGCCTGAGGAGAATTGAAAAATGTATTAACTGAAGTTACTTTAAAGTGCTTGGGCAAGTGGTGGTTATATCTCAGCATATCATCATGGATAAAAGTAGGGTTTTTTTCATTTATAAGGGGCTTCTGCTTTCCTACAATCATAGTTATAACATCTCTAATTTAGCAACGAGCTGTTCCAGGAGGTTTGACTCCTCCTTGCACTGCAGAGAGGGAAGAAATGTGCTGGATTCTCATTCCTCACAGACTCCACCTCTCACCTCTGGCTTGGTGAAGTAACAGTCATAGAATCCCAGACTGGTTTAGGTTGGAAGGGACCTTAAAGATCATCCAGTCCCAACCCCCCTGCATGGGCAAGGACACCTCCCACCATTCCAGGCTGCTCCAAGCCCCATCCAACCTGCCCTTCAACACTGCCAGGGATGGGGCAGCCACAGCTTCCCTGGGCAACCTGGGCCAGGCTCTCCCCACCCTCACAGCCCAGAATTGCTCCCTCACATCTCAGCTCCAGCTCCCTCTGCCAGCTGGAAACCCTTCCCCCTGCTCCCATCCCTCCCTGCCCTTGTCCCAAGCCCCTCCCCAGCTTTCCTGGAGCCCCTTCAGGCACTGGAAGCTGCTCTCAGGTCTCCCTGGAGCCTTCTCTTCTCCAGGCTCAACACCCCAACTCTCCCAGCCTGTCTCCAGAGCAGAGCTGCTCCAGCCTTCCCATCATCTCCGTGCCCTCCTCTGGCCTCTCTCCAACAGCTCCATGTCCTTCCCATGCTGGGGACCCCAGAAATTCACCCAGTACTCCAGATTGAGTCTCAGGAGAGCCAAGTAAAGGGGGAGCAGCAGCCAAGCTGCTCCCGAGGCCAGCAAGAGGTCCCTCAGAGGGCAGAGAGATTATCTGTATCTTCTTCTGGGAGGAGAACCAGCCACTATCTTCCCCACTCAGGGAGGGAGAGAAGCCAAACAGCTCAATATGCTTCAGATGGGTTGGTCCTCACTGCTGAAGCTCTAAAGCAGCAGGACCTTGAAGCACATACTGCACGAGGTGACAAAAAATGCTTTCAGCCTGCCAGCAAACTGCATCTTCCAGCATCTCTGGCCCCTCTATGGGAAATTTACAGGAGAAATTCCAAACTCACCAACTTTTTCATGAGGTTTTGTGGTGATTTCCTCCCAGGTGTTGGTTTCCAGGTTGTAGGCATGGATCTGAAGGAACAAAGAGAAGCACTTAGTTCCTCCTGGCTCTCCCAGCACCACCATGATGCAGTTGGGAGGCCCTGACCCAGGGAGCCACTATAAATAACACCTCCTTTTCATTAAGTGTAAAACCAAAAATAGATAATCACAGACAGTGACTAATCAGGTATAAAATCACCTTCCAAGTGTAGCAGCAGCTTACTGAAGCTTTCAGTTCAGGCCTTGCTATTTGAGCCCCACAGCTGAAGACAAAGAATATTGCTTTGAACAAAACCTGAACCAATTAAAACCCAGGCCCTCCAGTTCCCAAAAGTGTCCAGAAAGACTCAAATGATGCTGCACATCAGGAGAGAAGAAATGCAGGGAAAGGAGAGAGAAAAAGTCGTGTTAACTGCTGCAGTTTCAACTTGTTTTTGCAAGTGGAGCACTGTTTAGAGTCTCCTCTTTTATCATTTCAGCATTCCAGATGAATTCACTCTTCCCTCCTCAAATTGTACTGAGAAAAACGTTCACCACAGGGAAGGGAATTAAAGCAGGTGATGAAGGGAGAAGGCAAGAAAGGAGACACTGTCCAAACACCTGAACTGGGTAGCAAAGAATTCCTCCCTTTTGGCACTTTCCTGTTTTGGCACAAATAGAGCATTTGGAAAAGTGTTTTGAGATGAGAATCTTTGAGAACAGGAATGAAGCTGCTTTGCAGAGCAGTGTGGACACTGGGTACCACAGAGTCACCATCTCTGGGTCAACAGGCCACGTTTTACAGAACCAGAACAATCTGCTCCTTGTTATCTGGGTTTTTTACCAAGTTTTTCAGAGAAGGGCAGATGAAGAGACTGTGGTGGTTCTGCTTCACTCCTGAACGTCCCCTCTCCAGGAAGGCACTCAAGGTTTGTGATCATCTTACCTTATCTAAGGAATAAGCTGTCCAGGAAGTTCCACCTCCCAAGATATAAATCCGTTGACCATCGTGTGCGATCTCGTGCCTGTACCTGGAGGTGCAAAGAAGGGACATTCAGCAGCACAAGGAATTCGTGCAAGTGAGAAACAGCAAAACCTTCTGGAAAACATGCTCAGGTTTGAGGGGTTGAAGCAGCCAGGCCAAACCTGGCTATGCTGCAGCAGTCCCTCAGGTTGGGAGCTTTCAGAAGGTGTGGAAGCTTTTGTGAGACATGTTCTGAGAGCAGAGCACCAGGGAACTTCAGAGCAGTGATTATGGAGCACCATGATGGCCCTCAGCACTCCATCCCCTCCTCTCACTGAGGTGGTCACTGGTTGATCTCCAAACCCTCCTTCCTCCATGCCATGCTACAGAATAGGACAAGGATGAACTGGAGCATCTTCTCCTCCTCAGCACTCACCAGCTGGCCCAGTCTGGCACCACTCAGACCAGATCAGTGTCCTGGCAAAGGCTTCACAGCCCATCCTTACAGCCCTCAGTGTGCCAGACTGCTGGAGCACCAGCTCTGCAAGGTTCACAGCCAAAAACCCTGCCCTCAGAGTGCCCAGAAGTCAGCTCATGCTGTCTCATCTTCTCAGTGCCAGTAAAGGTGGTGACACCCCGGTGGAAAAGCTCCCCAAGGCAACTCACCTCTCTTCTGGCATGTCACAGGACATGTTGTTTGGTCTCAGCTGGATCCACTCTCTAGTGTTGAGGTCGAGCTTATGCAGGTCAGTACTGTAAATGTAACCAGTTGTTCCTCCAAACACGTAGAGACAACCATTGATGATGGCCATGGCCTGGGAGGGAGCAGAGAAACCAGTTAGCAAGGACACGTGGACACCAGTGGCTGAAAGAGAAAGAACTCCTGCCCTCCCAAAGCAAGACACCACTTGCAAAGCCCTGCCTGCAAAGGGAAAAGTGACACGTTCAGGAGGAACAGGGAGGGCAAACAAGGATGATGGGCAAAAGATGGGGAGGGATACGTCTGTAGGAATGGAAAGAAACCCCATGGTCACAAGATGAGGACCTAGAAGTGGAGCTGCTGAGTTTCAGGCACCAGCCAAGACAGATCTGTGCAGCAGAGGCTCCCAGGAGCTAAAATCAAAGCACAGGTGACCCTGAATCTCTTCCATACTGACCTTTTAGAGCTACTGATATGGAGAATCTTACAGACCAGCTATCAGCCCACCAGCAGCATGGAGAGTAACACAGAAAGCCCCAAACACAGCAGAGAACTCAGACTAAACAACAGAGGCAGCCTCTACAATTCCAAACCACATGGACTATCAGCCTTCTGAAACTGCAAAGGTGGTGCAGGCACCATTCCCAAGGTGGAAACAGAGGTGGAAGCTCCTTCTGCTCTCAACTGCCTGTTTGCCAAAGGCCAGCTCAAGCTGAACAGGGCAAGGAGAAGACAACTTGCCTTCCCTCAAGAGTCTGGAGCACATCTAAATGAGAAATGTGCCACAAGGCAGTACAACTGTGTGCCTCTCTGACTAGAATTTTAACTTGTATATACACGTATAGAGGACATCTTACACAAATTAATCACATTAAATTAATCACACTGAATTTCTGAGTTATTTTGTAGCAAATCTAGGGTTCTTTTGCCCAACATGTTCACACATGACATCATGGACAGATTAAAAGTTGTTATCCTGATATATATAGGAGCTACCAACCACTGTTTTTTTTGCCCAAAATGTTCACACATGACATGGACAGTTTAAAAGTTCTTATTCTGATATATATAGGAGCTACCAACCACTGTTTTCATTTATAGTTTGGGGTTTTAAAGGTTTTGAGGAGACTAGAGAGCAACTCCAGAAACTACCAACCACTCCTTAAATCAGACACATTTTTTCATTCAACTACATCTGACTTTTCTAACTCCAAGAAACCTTTTCCTTTCCCCAATGTAAGGACATGGAGCTCCCGGCCAGGGGAGGCCACGGAGATGCTGGGAGGCTGGAGCAGCTCTGCTCTGGAGACAGGCTGGGAGAGTTGGGGTGTCCAGCCTGGAGAAGAGAAGGCTCCAGGGAGACCTTAGAGCACCTTCCAGTGCCTGAAGGGGCTCCAGGAAAGCTGGGGAGGGGCTTGGGACAAGGGCAGGGAGGGGTGGGATGAAGGGGAAGGGTTTCCAGCTGGAAGAGGGAGCTGGAGATGAGACGTGAGGGAGCAATTCTGGGCTGTGAGGGTGGGGAGAGCCTGGCCCAGGTTGCCCAGGGAAGCTGTGGCTGCCCCATCCCTGACAGTGTTGAAGGGCAGGTTGGATGGGGCTTGGAGCAGCCTGGAATGGTGGGAGGTGTCCCTGCCCATGGCAGGGTGGTGGAATTGGATGATCTTGAAGGTCCCTTCCAACTCAAGCCTATAATTTTATGACATCTCCAAGAACCAAGACTGTTCTGTCTCTGTGAGTGACACCTGCCTTCCCTTACAAGTCTGTACATGGACAACACCTCCAGTTACCAGCAGAGCAGGGAGCTCAGTGCTCTGGCCCCTTTCCAGTGACACAGGCCTCAAGAAGGGCCTCCTCCCTACCTGGCCGTAGATCCGATTGGGTTTCTTTCCCCGGCAGCTGAGCAGAGCCCACCTCTTGTACTTGACGTTGCAGACGTGGACGTCGTTGCCATTGCTCTCCCCAAAGGGGATCCCAGTGCCCCCAAACACCAGGAGGTTGTTGCCATGCAACACAACTACGAGAGAGAGAGGCAGAGCAGAGATGCTTGTTGCTGTCAGATGCAGGAAAAACACAACAATTCTCTGCTCTGGAGGCAGCAGCACCCAGGTGGCCAAGAGGGGCAATGTCATCCTGGCCTGCAGGAGGAAGAGTGTGGCCAGCAGGGCCAGGGAGGTGATCTTACCCCTGTGCTGGGCACTGGAGAGGCTGCACCTGGAACCCTGGGGTCAGGGCTGGGCCCCTCAGGTCACGAAGGACCTGGAGGGGCTGGAGCGTGTCCAGGGAAGGGCCCCGGAGCTGGAGAAGGGGCTGGAGCAGAAGGAGAAGGGGCTGGGGAACTTGTGAGGAGCAGCTGAGGGAGCTGGGGCTGTTGAGCCTGGAGCAAAGGAGGCTGAGGGGAGACCTTCTGGCTCTGCAGCTGCCTGAGAGGAGGTTGGAGCCAGGGGGGTCGGGCTCTGCTCCCCAGGAACAAGGGACAGGACAAGAGGGAACGGCCTCAAGTTGTGCCAGGGGAGGTTGAGGTTGGATCTGGGGAACAATTCCTGCCTGGCAAGGGTTGTCAGGGCCTGGCCCAGGCTGCCCAGGGCAGGGGGGGAGTCCCCATCCCCGGAGGGATTTAAGAATCATATAGACATAATACTCAGGGATACGGTTTAGGACTTGTCAGTGTTAGGTTGAAGTTTGGACTCCATGACCTTTAAGGTCTTTTCCAACCAGTGATGCTGTGATTCACTGGGCAGCCAGAGCTCAGTATTGTCCAAATACCCTCCAACTCACACTCTGCACTGATGGCTTTGAAATGCTCTAGAAAAGAAGGCAGACAAGGCAAAACCATGGTAACCAAAGGCCTCCTTATAAAAAAAAGGGTAGTGAACAAAGAGATCTATTTTTGGATGCTTGGAGATGTCTGATTGCCCTGAGCACCCAGCTGCTGCAAACACAACTATCAAGGTGATTACCTGAGGACCACCTCTTGCACCTGGGATTTGTTCTTTCCCTCTGCCTCAACTGGAGCAAAAGGAGAAAGAAAAATCCCAAATCCAACCCAAACTCCAGGCTTACTCGCAGAAAAGTTGGAAACAGGATCCAGATTTCCCAGTTTTGCCTGGTTTTGCATTCCACCAGGGACATGGATTAAAATAGGCTCCAGATAAACTGGGATCCCCAGTTCCAAAAGGACAAGGAACTACTGGAGAGAGTCCAGCACAGGCCACAGAAATGCTGGGGGGACTGGAGCATCTGCCTGTGAGGAAAGGCTGGGAGAGCTGGGGCTGTTCAGCTGGAGAGGAGGAGCCTGAGGGGGTGTGTGATCAGTGCTCATCAATATCTCCAGGGGGTGTCAGGAGGATGGGGTCAGACTCTGCTCAGGGGTGTCCAGGGATACGACAAGGGGCACAAACTGGAGCACAGGAGGTTTAACATTAATATGAGAAAATACTTCTTTACTCTGAGGGTGACAGAGCCCTGGGACAGGCTGCCCAGGGAGGTGGTGGAGTCTCCATCCCTGGAGACATTCCAAACCCACTTGGGACATGTTCCTGTGGGATCTGCTCTAGGGAATCCTGCTCTAGCAGGGGGGTGTGGCTGGATGATCTCCAGAAGTCCCTTCCAATCTTGATGACTCTGCAGGTGGGAACTGCATTCCCCTACGTAAGTGACATGGAGGCCAGCTCCCTGGGCATGTAGCCTTCAGTGCCCATCTGATGCCAGGTGTCTGTAGCAAAGTTGTACCTCCAGAGCTCCCTGAAGAGGGGATAGTCTTCATTCTCGGGCCCGCCGGACTCGTCGTAGTCGGGATTGTAGCCCCCAAACACATACAAGTTGGCACTATCTGCAACACAACGGTGGCCACTTCTTGCTGGTGGAGATCTGTGGCCTGCAGCAAAAGGGGAAGATCAAACAGCTTCAGTGAAATGGCAGCAGAGGAGCTTGTGACTGAAGAGCAGGACTGCACCTGCTGTGGTGGTCCTCCGACAGGAGAGGATGGATTTTAGCCACAGGGGAGCTGTGTGCAGCCAGGAGGAGACAGCTCTGTAGGACAGATCCACTTCTCCAAGCACAAATGTGGAGAGCCTCTGCCTGTCACCATCTCATTCATGTCCACTTGAGCCCCTGGACCACGCCTGCCTAAGCAGACCTGCCTGCAGGTTGATGCCAGGTCACTCCCATGACAATCCCTCCATGTGGCAATGCTTCCATAAAAGCCATTTCTGAGGTATCTCACCAACACCCCCTTCTGTCATTCCATATGGCACATTTCACTCAGGAAACAGTTCCAAAATATTTATACTTAAAGCTGCTCAATGGGAACGAAGAAGAAAAGAAATTATTGCTCTCCCTCCTACACAAACCTTCTCTCTATTTCTTCTCTTTTCTCTCCAGGCACCTTGTATTTCAATAAGACATTTTCCCCTTGGACACCACTGGACTTCCTAATTATGGGGGTTGGGACTTGATGATCTTTAAGGCCCTTTCCAACCCAAACCATTCTATGGAACTATGAAGTAACGTGGGCCTGATGCAGCAAGTCAGATCTGCTCAGAGAAAGGCATCTGCACTGGGAGGAGACAACAGACAAAAACAGTAGTAGTAGAATGTACAAAAATACCAACTCAGTCCAGGGAAGTCTCACCAGCAATATTCTTGATGGGCAACAGCATTTGAAGTCTCAGCAGAGAAGAGATCAAGCAGCAACTCTGACCTTGCTTGGACCTCCTGGAGAGAGTCCAGAGGAGGCCACAGAGATGCTGGGAAGGCTGGAGCAGCTCTGCTCTGGAGCCAGGCTGGGAGAGTTGGGGTGTTGAGCCTGGAGAAGAGAAGGCTCCAGGGAGACCTTAGAGCAGCTTCCAGTGCCTGAAGGGGCTCCAGGAAAGCTGGGGAGGGGCTTGGGACAAGGGCAGGGAGGGATGGGAGCAGGGGGAAGAGATTTCAGCTGGCAGAGGGAGCTGGAGATGAGGTGTGAGTGAGAAATTCTGTGCTGTGAGGGTGGGGAGAGCCTGGCCCAGGTTGCCCAGGGAAGCTGTGGCTGCCCTATCCCTGGCAGTGTTGAAGGGCAGGTTGGATGGGGCTTGGAGCAGCCTGGAATGGTGGGAGGTGTCCCTACTCATAGCAGAGGAGTTGGACTAGATGATCTTTATGGCCCCTTCCAACCCAACCCATTCTGTGATTCCAAAACATCAAGGTGTCACCATCAGGCCCTTGGGCATATCCTCACCTTGTTGCCCCCCAAGTTTCGGTTCAGGTGACAATGAACAGCAAACAAAAAAAAATCATTAGAAGATTCTTCAAGAACCTTCACCCAAACAAACCAGAGACCTTCACCAACTCTCTGCTCTCACAGCTCTTTTAAGGACTTTTAGGATGGAAGGAAACCCAGTGAAGCATCTAATTAGAACTCATCATGCTTTCTTTTCAGAGCCTGTCACAATTATCAGCAGTGAATCAGAGGAGCAGAGCAATAACAAATGAGGCAGCAAACATCTTTCCTACAGGAAAGGTGAAATAAATGATTTGTCCAGACTGAATAATGAGTTTTAACTCAGCACAAGCAGCTGTGCTTAATCACACTCCCCATTTGCTGCTGCTTTAGGCTCCAACTCTTGTTCAAAATTAAGCTGCTCTACAGGGCTCAGACAAAATCCTTGTGGCTCAGTTTGGACAGATCTGGGTTGTTTCCAGCAATAATTGCATCTTGCAGCAACCCCCACTTAGAAAGCTCAGAAGCACTGGCTCAAAAGGAGGGGAATAAATGTAAGGAATTTATGGAAAAGTCTGTAGTCACTGGCCTGGTGACTGAGAGAGCTCAGTGTTACCAGGCAGCCAGTGGGCATAAGGGGTGGATATTCCATGTACTAATAGAATCATGGAATGGTTTGGGTTGGAAGGGACCTTAAAGATCATCCAGATCCAACCCCCTGCATGGGCAGGGACACCTCCCACCAGACCAGGTTGCTCCAAGCCTCATCCAACCTGCCCTTGAACATTTCCAGGGATGGGGCAGCCACAGCTTCTCTATGGCCAGAGTCTCACCACCCTCACAGTGAAGAATTTCTTCCCAGTATCTCACCTAAATCTCCCCTCTTTCCAGTTTTAATCCATTCCCCCTTGTTCTCTCACTAGTTATTGGCCTCAGTGCTGGACTAAACTGTTAAATATTATGTACTTCAGAGGTGAATCACAACGGGAAAGAGAAACATCCATCCCTCTGGGCTTTTTACTTTAAACTCTGAAATTATCCAAAGGGATGGATTAATTTTCAAGTGCACACCTTGACAACAAAGGCATTTACCATCAGGGTATCCGTTCAGACTTCTAGTCAGAGATGTTTTGAGAGGACAATTCATCTGATCCTGAGTATCTGCAAACAAAACCCTGCTTGAGAAGTGCCCTTCTCTGCAGCCTAGAGGAGCTACCCTAGCAAAGGGCCCACGTGTCTGTGCTTGGGCAAATGGAGCTCATCCTCCTTGTTTCTTCTCTGTTTGCCCTGAAGGTCTCCAAAAAGATGACCTGAAACAGGAGCTTCATGCCAGCTAAGACTGGGAACAGTGATGCACACATTTGGTGAGGGAGTGAGGATTTAATTGTAGATCCTGTTTCCCTCCAGTTATAACACTTGCTGTGAGAATTTTCCAGAGGGAAGAGAGGAGAATAAGGTTGAGTTTTACACAAAGCCAAGAGAGTAATAAGAGGCATAATTCAAAGGAAATAAATTAAGAACAAAACCAAGGAACACTTATCTGCCATTCACCTCTCAAAATTAAAAAGGGAAGCCACCTGACTCTGCCATAAAGCTCCAGAAGAGGGAAGTTTCAACAAAAAGGGATCCATGGTTGATGAATCCAAGTCCTTGAGACAGCAAGGTGGGTACACGAAGTCCACACACAGCCCAGCTGGTTTCACCTCTTCCCTTTTAACCAGAGATTCATCTCCTATCTTTAAAATATTATCTTTTCAAGGTTTTTTTCAGGACACAGAAAGGGCATTAGAAGCCAGAGCTGGTGTCAAACAGATACGTGCAAGTACCCAACTGAGATGGTCTGGAA